ACTGCTTGCACCGAAGCCAGCCACCTGGGTCCGCTTTTTATCTGCTCGCTCACTCTGCGAAAATAAAGGGCCATAAGATCCGAAATCAACCGGATATCATGGGGAAGGCTATTCTACAATTTGGGAGCCTCCACCATAAATACGAAGTTGCCAGCACATTTGAGTTTAGATCTGAGTGCAACCAACAGCGGATGATTAGAAGATCTAGGAGGTCTCACCAGTGTGTAAGAATGTAAAAGCTCAGTGATATATGAAGGTACTAGATAATGCAGTGCTTTAAAAAAAAATCTTAAACATAATCCTAAAAGAAACCGGAAGCCAGTGTAGAGAAGCCAGAACAGGGGTTATGCGATACTGTTTCTGAGTGTTAGTGAGGAGGTGTGCAGCCGCATTCTGAACTAGCTGAAGGTGGAAGAGGGAAACTTAAGAAGCCCCAAAATACAGCGCATTACAGTAGTTTAGCCTAGAGCTAATGAATGTGTGGATAGTTTTCTCAAATTCATGAAAAGATAGAAAGTGTTTGATTTTGGATAGCAATGTCAGCTGGAAAAAGCTCACTTTAACCAACAAACGGATCTTAAGGGTGCTATCAAAGATCACCCCAAGGTTTTTTTAACCTGTGGTTGCGGGTAAGCAGCCAAGGGACCCAGTTGCAGAGCCAGAATGAAGGATGGAAGTGATGAAAAGATGAAGGTAAAATAAGAGGGAAAGATTAGACAAGTAATGGCTTGTGATGAGAGGACATTTATTTTGGTGTTTGCATTCTGTTAAGCTTTGAATGAAAAACTGATTGTGAAGCAATGTAATAAAATAAAGACTCATGAAACAGTAATACAAATAACCAAATCTTTCATAGTGTTTGGCTTTTTCACTCCAGTTGCCAGTTTGGAAAGTCACAGATTTGTGGTCAAGTAGTATGATGAAGGGATAATAATATACATAAAGGATTGCTAGTGATACTCTCCTGGTCCCTGATGTCAGTGACAAAACAATAAATGATTCTTATTCCCTAGTGGATAACTTAAGCCAGTCAGGATAAACTCACATTGAGCTAATTTACCTTTCTGCAAGAAGTATAAATGGCAGCACATTTTATATGTAGATGCTGTCACGATTCCAATGTGGAGGACCCAGATGCAGACTACAGACAAGGAGGTAGCAGTGAAAAGTGGACTGAGCTGTAAAAATAGTGACTGGAGTATGGGTGAACAGGGTCATACAGAACAGGTAATGAGGTTACAAAGGGAAGTAAATTTAGAGGAAACAGGTAAAAATGGAGAACTAACATTTGTAAAAAATATTAAAAGGAATGAACATAGGCGAGCAGGAACATGGCAAGAACTAAGACTCGCCACAGGAACACAGATAAGTACACAGGAGCAAACAGGACAGGCTATATTGTGGCCTTAGGAGCAGAAACGGATACAGGCAAGCCAGACAAACCAGAGAGCAAATCAATAAACAGAACCAGGGAGCAACTAGAGCCCATACACAACATAGACAGTAAAACTAGTCTCCACTAGCAGATGGCCAGGTGACTCGAGGACACAAGTATTTATCTGTGTGGTGGTGTAATATAAAAAATAGCACCTGCACATTTACCATTGATGATGATGTGTCTTCATAACTGCTACTGAAATAAAGTGATCACACCTGTCCTGGATAATCATGGCAGTTAAATCTGTTTACAGCAGACCAGCACTGTGCACATGTTTCACGCTGTCTGTTTCACATGTAACCCGATAGCTTTTCAGAGGTAACCCAAGCACCATCCTGAGGGGCAGAGCCTACAACAATCTTTGACTTCAAGTGATCAAGTGATTTGAACACAACAAAAATAGCCACCAAACCTTGTGTATGCAATGCTGTGGAACCAGCTCCTGATTGTGTGTTCTCCCTGAGCACATCTTTTTGTGCTGCACCTCTTTTCCACAGCACTCAGGGGAAACCTATAAACATTCACTAACCGACAGCATGCAAGCACCATCACTAGAGCATGACAAAACAAGCTCTTAGTTTCTTAATCAAACTGCTTCTGACACTTCTCTCAACTCACTATCACTATCTACTTGCTGAGTGAATATCTGGAATATATTTTTCTGTAGAGTACAGTGACAGCAGCAAAAGAGTTCTTGCACTTCCTGGTTAACAACACCTGGTCTCCTAATAACTGTATAATTCTTACATTGTTATAGATGGCAGGTGCTGCCATAGATGGCAAGTACATAACATGTTTTCATTACTTTATGAAAATATGGTCTTCTCAGGAGGCTTTTAGCATATTTATTCAAATAATTGTGCAAAACTAACTCACATTCATATAAATGTGACACTAAACGGTGCATGTGTGCTATTAATCTGACCTGCATAGGTGACCTTAAAATAGGTTTTGAAAGAAGAGTATACCATTACACCTCTTTTAAATTAAAAGTTTAGTTCATAAGCAATAAAACACACCTTGCTCAGTTCAGTTTTTTCTGCTACAGCTTGCCTTATTTGTTCTGGTATGACCAGACGCTTAAAGATACAGCTTTATGTTAGGCATTACTGAGTAAAAGTAAAGGTATGATTCCACTCTATTTGTGTTACTGTTAGATTTTAACATTATTTTGTGATCGCTGCTCTTGACTACGACTGCTGCTCAGGAGTTGTCATAGAAACCTCCTTCACTTCAATGATGGAAGAAGTACTCAGATCCTTTAAAATTAGCAATGCCACAGTGTAAAAATACACTGTTGCAAGTAAAATTCTGCATTAAAAATGTTATTTAAGTAAAATTACACATGTATTGGCATGAAAACATACTTAATGTACTAAAAGTAAAGGTTCTCATTGTACAGAATAGCACATTTAACATTAATGTATATCATATTGTATTATAATTACTGATGCATTATTGTGTACATCACAGTTAATGTTGCAGCTCATAAAGGGGGAGCTAGTTTTAACAAGTTAGATGCATTTAATTTGAAGTACTGCTCAGTAGCTTGTGAATTTCCCACCCGAGATCAGTAAAGTCATATAACCATGTTGTACGTTTTGTATTAATCTGCTTCTGAAAAGTAACTAGTAACTAATGTTATAAAATAAATGTATCAGTGTAGTAAAATGTGCAATAAATAATGTAGTGATGTCAAAATATAAAATAGCAAAGAATGAAAATACTCAAGTACAGATACCTCAAAGTTGTACTTAAGCACAGTACTTGAGTAAATGTACTTAGTTACTTTCCATCACTGTTTCATTTTATGCTCAAATCCTTTTCCACTATATAAACTGCAACTAAATGTTGAGCTTTCACTGCATAAGACTGTCTCTGCTAGTCTTTAAAACAAGTATCTGGTGATCAGGTAGCGTATGAAGTATAGTTAGTACAGTAAATCCCCCCAGATAGTTTATTATTATTTTGTAATGGATCATCCTTGAGTGTAATTGCCGTTTTCTAAGTACAGTACAGTATGTGTGCTATGCAGCTAATCATGTAAACATTTGTAGACTTTTGCTCCCTCATTTTATTTTATATTGCTGTATTCTTTTCCTTGTTTGTTATTATAGGCTACATCGTGTATGGGGAAATCCCAAGTCGTGTCAAGGTGTCCCTGTTGTATGAAATGATATGAGGGAGATAAAACAGCTCTGTGCCGTTGACAGAGGCTGGTCACGTTACAGAACCCTGGATCATGGTCTTTAAACAGCGCCGCTTCTGGGTTGGGGAAAAAGATCGTATTTTGTTAATCCTGTTTTTTGTTGATTTTAAAAAAAGGTTGGTGGAACACGCATTGCAGTGTTGAGCAGTAGAGTCATGCTTTTTCACAAGTATTTGTCAAGGAGCTGTGAACTCATACATCCACTGGCAAATCATTTTCAGAGTCACCTATTTCACTGTTGCAATTTACTGACACATGCTTCTGAATCCCCAATAATCTTTTACCACATAAGTGATTGAAAACACAGAAACTGCAATTTTCTTTGGTTACTCAGTCTTCACAAATAAGTAGTTAAATTTTTTTTTATTTTATTTTTATAGGTAAACAGTTTATACAGTATAAAACCCATTTGTTCAAGTTCGAATATTTCCTGTGGTGAGTTCGGTGTATTTCCATCTGCCTCAGTCTTTATGGCAGTATATCATTTACAATAGGTTACTTTCCATTTGTTTGCATAAGCCCTTTACAGTACAGTAAGAAAGAAATTCACACATGATGAGGACAGGTAGCTCTGAGGAGCCCTTTGACCATGCACTGACATGTCCATTCCAGCTACACCCCGACTTCATTTCCTTCTTTAGGACTTTGCACTTCACCATTCAGTGTTTGCTCCTGTTAGTGTGTTAACTTTACTGTGATTAAAAATTATTAAGGTGAACACATGTTTTGTTTAATGTTTCTGTGTCACAGAGAGGCTTAGTTCATTTCCTTCATGTACTGTGGCTCAACTCTGACTTCATTCATTCATAAAATGAGGTAGAGGTTTATGATGTAATTTGAAGTTGAATCAGCTACTGAAAACAAACAAATGTGTGAATGAAGGAGACATATGTTTGACTTACTTGACTGACAATGGTTTTTAAGTGTGTGTGTGTGCGTGTGTGTGTGTTTGATCAGTGATTGCGTGGGAACCTGTGCTTCAGCTTAGTTTTCACCAGTGTGTGTTTAAGCCAACACTCAGACTCATTCATGTACTACAATCACAGAGGTCTAGTCTTACAGGTTTTCCTACACGCCCCCACATAAACACATGCACATACACGAATACCCAGAAGGGTGTGGAAAAAGCCGGCCCCTTTACAGTATAATGCTCCTCTGATGCTTCCAGTCAGTCTGCTGCTCTGCCCGCTTCCGGGAATTAATCTGTAACAAGTGCCTTTGCTGCTTATGGTGTGTACTTGTTTGAGCTGTGCCCATCGTCTAAGCAACAGCAGACAACCACCACTCTTTCAAACACACACTCAGGATGTCAGGGGATTGTGTTCCTGAGGTTCCAGACCTAAAGGAGATGGGTGAGGAGGAGCTGTGGGAACTGATTAACGACAACCGCCACCGGATCTCCTTAGGAGTGCGACCATGTAACTTGATCCCGTACCTGAGGCAGGCCAGGGTGCTCAGTGAGATGGATGAGGACGAGATTCTCTCCTGCCATAACCTCACCAACCGCTGCATGAGAACCAGTGAGATTTATGACTTGTTGCTTTTTGGATTGTAAAGAAAGTTAAAAGCCAGTCCATGGGTTGAACTGTAGTGTGCCTCATTTTGTAGGGCTCTGTTTGGTCCATTTTTACTTCACCTGATTTGTTTACATTGACTGTTGAGACACACACAGAAATTCCAGCAATATCTGCAGTACTAAGAGCAAATATTCATTAGAAAAACCACCTGACAGAGTCTGAAAGCATAGCAGCCTGCTTTACTAAAACATTTATCTTTTTTATGTGATTATTGTATAGAACTTTTGATAGCCTGATTTCTCTCTGCAGATAAACAATAGTGCAGTGCTTTTATTTATGAAACAAGACATTTATAAAGAAACACCTGTTCTCCCTATTGGTTTCATCAGTAACTTCATGACCTTCATGGCTTTAGATGAAGTCTGTTGGTTTGAAGGCTGGAGATGGTGACAGTATTACATTATCCTCTACTGTCTCCAGGCTACATGTTGGATCTGCTGAGGACCCAGGGGAGGAATGGTGCAGTGGCCTTGCTGGAGAGCCTCATGATCCACTACCCAACCCTGTACACCCAAGTCACAGGACGCAAGCCCAGCACTGAGCCCTCAAGATTGAGTGGTTGGTGGCTTCAGTCTTCTACATTTTTATATTAGTCTCTTGGTGCCCTTCACATGCCGTATAGTATTGGTGACTAGCAACGCTCTTCTTACAGGCCTGCTAAAGTACTCCGAGCTGACAGAGTATCTGGTCAGAGCAGTAACAGGAATGCAGAAGGAGCTCCAGGAGGCACGCAATGAGGCTAGCACAATGAGTGCCCGCTGTGCCGCCCTGGAGTCAGAGATTAGGCAGGTAATGGAGCACGAGGAGAAGTCCAGATGCCTTCAGGCTGAAAACGAACGAATGCAGAGACATTTTTGTTCTTTGCAACGGGAAGTCACCAAACTGAAGGATGAAAAGTGTGACTTGTATGTGCGTTACACAGCAGCCATCGAGGAGAAATCAGCTTTAAACATGCGCCTCCATGACCTCAACCTCCAGGTCAGTGAAGCTCACTGAAGTCTGATTTTTAGGAAGCACAATGCTGCCATCTCAGGGGAAAGTCCTCAGAAGGCCAGCTTTAAAAAACTGAAATGTGAGCACTGTAGTGCAATGTAAATTTAGAAGACTCTGCTACCTACACCTAGGGAGGCACTGTGGAGAATTATACAGTACAGAATGGCTTTTATGGCTATGAAGGCACTTTGCCTGAGAAAATGACTCAATTGACAACACTCAAATAAACTGAAAAAGGTTTTTACAAACTGGAGGTGTAGAGTCTAAGAGACCTGGTGCATAAGATCTGATGAAAAATGCTAAAGAAAATGAAATTAGTGTGCAGCATCCAGTATTCTGGAGTGGGTGTTTTGTTTGAGACACAGCAGAAACAATTAGGATCAATACCTCTGATGCACTGTATCCAAGTTGCATTGTACAAGTAGAAGCAACAAGTGTTGCTAAATCCTGATTGATACAGTGAAATGTGTGACATCACTTTTCAAAGAATCCCCACCCATTCAACAACAAGAGCACAAGGGAAAAACATAAATACAAAAATTAGTCATGACAATCAAAATTTTTTCAAATTTGGCAGAAAATGAGGTGTTGATGTACGATCACATCTCTCAATAAGAAGCAGACTGTGCAAATAGGTTTTCAGGGCTTTTAACATATTAGTCGATCAACAAAACATTCACTTGCAGAGTCACAACTTTCCTCTTTTATGGTACTGAAAATTGAATAAATGTACCTTTGGGCATACTGAGACTATTGTTCAGACAATACAAATGATTAGAGGCTGTCACTGTGAGCTCTGGTAATGTTTCCATTTTACTATATAAAAAAAAAAGATTAATTTATTAATTTATATTAAGTAATTGTCTTTTGTGGTGGCAGATTTACCAGCTGCAAAAAGTGCAGAAAACCCAAACAGAGAGTGAGTTCCAGAAGCAGCGCTCAGTCAGGCGCAGCTCTCTGTGTGAGATACCACAACTGCAAGAGGAAGTCAGGAGCCTGCGCTGCCAGCTGGTGAAGGTCGAAAAGCTGGACCCAGTGAGAATAATCATTTAATCATTCTGTTATTAGCTAATTGATGTAGTGATGGTTTTCACTCATCATCATGCTCATCTTCACCAGAAGCTACTTGTGTTTTTGATTCTGCATCCCTTCCTGTCTGTTTTGTCTTTGTTCAGGCTCGTCAGGACATCCTGGCCCAGGATCTGGCTGAGGCCATAGGCAGCCAGGTGGAGCTTGCAGAGCAGCTCAAAATTTACAGAGAGGATAATGAAAAGCTGTTCAGAGAGAAACAAGAGGTGTGTGGTTTTATGTCAGTCATCACAGATCAGTCATGCTAATTCAGGAAAATATCTGTACTGATGCCGTACTGATGAATCCAGTGCTACACAGTAACATGATATGCACACACATTTTTTCATGTCGAGACTAACAAAATGTGCCACACTGGTGTACTTGCATTCAGCTCTTGGATCAGAAGGAGCACCTGAGCCTTCAGGTGCAGCAGCTCACCCTGGACTGTAACATGCACCAGCAGAAGAGCACTGTGATCCAGAACCAGATGAGAGAGCTGCAGGCAGAGAGAGACCAGGTACAGTAACTGTCCCATCACTCAAACTTTCCTGTCTTTGCTAAATATTCATTCAGTTTTCCAAGTAGTATTTCCTGTTTTAGCTTGTATTTATATGACTAAGCCTGTTTCATCACATCATGTTTATTGCCTTACCTGTTGAAATGTCAAGCGGTCAGGTGTCAGCAGCACTGTTCAGGAATATCTAGCAGGTCTTGTGGCTCTTACTGTAACTCTCTGTTGTGTGCATAGGTGTAGGTGCACAGTTATTTATGCCTCCTTGATGAACTCTTTTTTTCTAAACATCACTGAGACTTTTTCTCTGACTAGACGTTAATGAAGACTCCACCACATTGTAACATCTGTCAATGAGCCACAAGCTGCCAGCTGCTCCACTGCAGCTGTGCAATAACTAACAACACAGGACTGTGTTATGTGTGATACATGCACATGATGTGCATCAATGAAACTTGTCCTTCCTTGTGTTTCAATACCTCTCACTCCAGCTTTCTAAATTTTAAAAGAACGCTTGAACTGCATGACGTTCTACCACATTCATCATGTTGGAATAAACAGGATTTATGGAATTAAGAATTAAGATCAAAACAGTTCAAACATAAGATCATTTCTGTTCCAGGTTTTGATCATGTATTGCATTGTTGTTTTCATAAGAATGTGTCAAAAGATATTGAGCTTGCGGGCAGCAAGGCCAAGCATGTGACAAGTTTAGCCCTTGTGGTTTCTACTTGAAGTATTAACTTGACCTGATTGTCTGTTTGCTTGAAACAAGGTGTGTCTGTGCACAGATCCTATGTAAATTATGTGTTGTGTTAAGCAAACATAGCCTGGTTCCCATGCATTACTAAACTCTGTCCCCCACTGACCCCCCACTGCCTTCTCCTATACCACTACACACAACTCACCCCTTCTCACCTCTCCTCCGCTTCTGTTACCTGTAACACTGAAGTGATCTGTTAATTTGCACATACTCTATACACAGAATACTCCTCTGTTATTCATTTGCATAGTGTTCATATGCAAATACTGTATATTTATCTTTGCACTATTTACATCATTTGAGCTGTTCATTCATGTAACTTATTGTTATCTTCCTATTCTGCACTATTTATTTCATTCCATCTAATCCCATTGCACTAGTGTTTTATAGCTTAATGTACCTTATCTTATTATTTGTAACTTAAATCCATAAAGTCTCTTGTTTAGTGTATATTACCTTATATAATTTACTGTAAATATCAATTGTGCACATCTATTGGTAAATTAGTTCTGACTGTACATGCTGTAGATACTGCGCACTCTGCACTGCTGGTTAGATGCTGAACTGTAATTCGTCGCCTTGTAATTGTACATGTGTAATGACAATAAAGTTGAATGTAATCTAATCTAATCTAATCTAATATAGGCATATCTGTCCAGAGATGAGGCCCAGGCCATGATCACCCGCATCCTGATTGAAAAGGACACCCTGAGGAGCCAGATAGTGGAGCTGCAGGAGCGGGTCTTCAGCCTGCAGGCCAGACACAGCCCCAGAGAGCAACGGCAGAGCTCTGATGTAATTTGTCACGTAAACACATACATGTATCAGAACACACATGAACACAATATTTACACAGTGCTCTGTGTTTGTGTCAAAGGAGAATGAGGTTGGCTGGGATAGTCCGAAGTCCAGCTGTGACAAATGCTCAGTTCCAATTAGACGCCGACTTTGCCGCATGGACGCAGTTAATCCCACGTCACAGAGTTTCAGCAATTCAGAGGTGTGTGCATGTGTGAGATCAACCAAAATGATTTGTTGTAAGTGGGGCTGGTTATTGATGCTTACATCTTTAGTGCCTATGAAAATGTGTCGATGCAATGAAGTGTCAAAAACTGCCAAGAACCACAAGCTGGCCTCAAGTACTGGTCAGATCCCTAGTCCTGTTTTTCTATTCTTTGATCTAATACTCTATATCCTGATTTAAACTTATTTATTTATTTATTTACATGTCAAGTTTTTATACAGCTGTTTTTTAAGGGAAGGGAAGTTTTAAAGGAATACTTAGAGTTAAAGAGCCCATTTTGCTCCTTTCCAGCCATTTAAAGTTTAATCTTGGGTACTACTAGATTAGCTTTACACACCTCATAACTTCAAATTGTCTAATTATTTCAGAACGATAAAACCCAAGAGCCTCTTTCTAAAAACAAGAGGATAGTTCATGAACCTCTTGCTGCCGGTGTTGTGTTGAAAGTGGACAGCACAGCAAACAACAACTGCATTAATTAATTTGAATTTCTCCTCTATAGATAGGTAAACAACAATATATGTACCAATGAAAAGAGATTTGTAACACTCTAAACAAAGCAGGTAATTGAAAAACCCCATATTTTAACTGGCATAATGCAGACATACAGTAGTAACTTCTCCAGCCTTACAACTATTCTCTCTAATGTCCCAGAAACAAGGCATTAACAGACATGCAATGTGTTTTTTTAAGCTTACCGTTAATTCCCACCAAGTAGTAGAAACATCACTCTCTTTCAAGTAGCTTCAAGTTCAGTAAATCCAATCGGTCATCACCCTGTCTTCCCCCACATGACCACATACATTCCAAAAGTAGTGAAATTGATTCCAACAGGTAGTGTAGCACTCGCAATAACATCATGGGTGACGACATTAATCCTGTCGTCACATGGGGCAGACACACTGGCCTCAAGCAATCAAAACAAGCAGGTATTGTGCTCCGGGGAATCCAGCCTTGGTGAGCTGATTATTCAGGGCTGTGGGGGCTTCACTGGCGGCTGCTTGTAGGTTAGATCTGGTCAGGTAAAACAACAAGTCCCTGTACAGGAACATTCCTGGACATGCAGTAACTTCAGGCCCTGTATTTTTCTCCACATCCTCTGGTCACAGTGCAGCAGCAGGAGGTAAAATATATCCATAAAACTGCACACAGTTGATAAATTCCACTTTTAAAATGGCATCTGAATGTCTTTTTTTTTTAAATAAGCTTTATTGAAAATATACATGTCAAACAGCGCAATATAACATTTTGCCAATATGGTGGGGGCACTGGTGGATGTCTGTCTGGTGATTATGCCCATTCAAACAAAAATCCTTAAACTATCATGTAAGACTTTATGTTGTTAGAAAAAAAGTCGTGTGTAAACCGAGTTGCTTCTGCATAGAAATACTAGAACATGCGCACACCTCATTTTTTGAGCTTTAGGTCACATCTAAGATGATAATTCACTGTTGTAACATTGTAGACAAGTCAAAAACAACAAAAAGCATGCCATGGGTTCTTTAATCAATGCCACTCCCATGTATTTATTATGACTACTGTATGCAACTGCCACCACCACCTAATTAACTTAGCTGGAAGGCTACAAACATAGGGAAACAGATAGCCTGGCTCTGTCCAGAGGCAAAACTAAAGCTAAAGCACATTAATTACCAGGTTGTATTGTGTTTGTTTTATTAGTATAAAAATTGAAGTGTGAAATTGTCAAACACATAACCCACAGTAAGACCTCAAGTTGTTTTCACACTTCAGTCCATTTTTATATATAAAACAAACAAGAAATAATGTGTTCATTGTCAGCTTTACAGGTGTTGTAGGTGTTTATCTTCAGGCAAAGCCAGACTAGCCATTCATTCTTTGTGCTAAGCTGTGATATCAGTCTAATGTATATGTGTGTGTGTGTATAGAGTGAAGATCCTACAGCATGTAGCATCCGATCCCGAAACGCAGAGCCCCCCAGTCTAGATTCCCTCCGAAGAAGAGAGGGAGAACTACACACAGACAGCAGGTGTGTGAAGTGTTGCTTTGTTCATGTACTGCATATGTCACTGTGCGTGTGTTTGTGTTTTTCCATGAAAGGCCAATCATCAGTTCCATTTGACAAGGCTATTGGCAGCTTTTTATAGACACCCACCAGGAACTACAGTATGACATCAGTGACCTCTGCATTCCTTTCTGTTGGTGTAACATGATGCATCCAGTTAAAGTTATACAGGAATATGATGGTCTTATGTCACATGATTCCAAGAAAGACAGAAAATGTGATCGAGTATGTAAAACACAGAAAACTGAAAGCAGAGTGTGTTGAGGAAGGTGTGAGCGAGCTAGGTTTTTGTACACCCCAACATTTTTCATTTCTTGTATTACTGCTCAATGTTCAGAGTGCTGACTAAGGCCTCTCCTTTGACATTATAAGGCTGTACTTATTCCTTGTTGCCAAACCAGTCTCTGGACTGTAGCATGGCAGATATTCTCACACGTAGCATACATTCCTTCATTATAATGAGGTCAGTAGAAAGTATTTACTTCAGCCAAGTTATTGCATGTCAACGTGTTTGTGGACAATAGATGGAACGGGAGAAATCTGATAGAGGTGTTTATGTTTTTTTGTCTCCTGCAGCTCTGAAGCAGAAACTGATTCTTTATTGGACGACTTTGTGTTCCTCGCTGCTGGTATGTGCGGAAAACATATGAGCTTTATTTTGTTTATGTGTGTCCCTGTGTGGATGGGTGGTGGCTTGGTGTTATTTGGGCAGGATTTTCATTAGCTATTATTCAGGGTTGGACCCTTGCCAAGGCTGTCAAGTGACACATTAACACATTATTACAGGTTATTTCCAGGGAAATAACCTTGATGCAAAATCATTAAACAGGCCTTTCTCTTGTTTAGTGGGGAATGAAGACAAACAAGAACCCAGGCATATGCCCTGTAATGGGCACAGCTCTGATAGGTGAGTTGGTCCACTGGATCACCATTGTTGCACATAAAACGTTTCATATTATGAAGCATTTTTGAGTAGAACAGATGGCAGTGCATATCCTTAAGGTGAAAATGAATGTAAATGTATTGGATGTTAATAATCAGAAATGAGCACTGGGGAATTCAACATAACATACCCACCTTTTACATGTGTACTAACTTGTCTATGAATATCAGAGCCAAAGGTCAGTGAAATCCATCCGGTATTTGTTGAGATAGTTCTTTGTTAGCTAAAAGGCTACTGTTCTTACACTATTCCTCTAATGTGAGTGTAAGCGCCCTCAAATCCCTGTCCTGCCACTAACAGATGTACTTACTGTACTTACAGTGCACTGGGTTTAGCTGTATATTCTGTATCATGGTAGCATTTTACCTTTTTATATAAGCATACAATAATCAAAATGTTCACTGTACTGCATGATTTCCTTATCTTCTCTCATTTCTCACCAGCACGCCAAGAACTTCAGCTCCTCCTTTCCTGATGCGTTCCCGTCCGAAAGCCATCCGCATCACCGGCCGTGTTCTCACCATCTCCTTCCAAGGGGATGCACTGCTCAGCCAGCTAACAGTAGTAGGGGGAAATAAGACAGGAGTTTTTGTGCACCAGGTGACAGAAGGGAGTGCTGCAGATACCGTCGGCATCAGCCCGGGAGCACAGATAGTGGAGGTGAGTGCACGTGTGAATGAAAAGAGTTATTCTCATTACTCTGCCTGTTGTGAAGGTGCTTCTCATCACAGTGTTGCCCTGCAGGTGAAGTACGAGCAGAACCAGAAGGCTCTGAGGATGGTGTTGGAGGACTCCACTTTAGAGGAAGCAGTGTGGGCTCTGGGCCAAGTTACAGGCCCCTGCCACCTCTCCCTGCGGTCCAAGCAAGATGGTATGTCCCACAGCATGCACATAAAACAGCTCCTTTGTTTCTTGTAACCAGTCATCATGAATTGTATCTACATCACTTAAAAGGCAATGTTATTTTCCACTGTGAAACAGTTCTTTATTCTTTAACAATATGGTATGTGTTATTTTAAAATAAATCATATACTGTATATTGGCACAGCGGCATAGTGGTCAACGCTGTTGCCTCACAGTAAGAACGTTCCAGGTTCAAGCACAGACCGACTGTGTGGAGTTTGCATGTTCTCCCTGCCCCTGTGTGGGTTCTTTCTGGGTACTCCGGCTTCCTCCCACAGTCCAAAGACATGTAGCTTAGGTTGATAGGCGACTCTAAATTGTCCCTACGAGTGAGTGTGTGTGGTTGTTTGTCTACATGTTAGCCCTGTCCAGGGTGTACCCTGCCTCTCTCCAAGAAGTGGCACAGCTGAAGCCAATACCTACCTGAAAGGGACCAGAAGTTAAATAGAATGACCATAAGGTGCACAGTTTGCTGCACTGGATATCAGTAGCCAATATCCAGGGTGTGATTATCCTAGAACTGTATAAGAACTAAAACAGGAGTGGCCCAAGGATGGCCTGCTCCAGACAAATAAGAAGAGCGTGTTTCAGCAACTCCAGAGACATTTGAAAACGAAAACCTGATGCAATAATGCCCAGGAAGAGACAGCAGAGACCCCTTAAGAGGGAGAACACTTGGAATAATTGGATTGAGAACTTTGAATCTAAATCACCTTAAACTCAAAGCCAAAAGAGATAAGAAGAAGAAATGGAATGGTGTTGCCTGACCCAGGATATAAGAGTGAAGAGGAGAAGTACAAGCAGAAATAAGCCTGCCAGGATGTGAAGAAGAATCCCACATGGATGGATCATATACTGTAGATTATATTTTGCATGATAAAGTCTTTCTTCATATTTACAACAAATAAGCAAAACTCATTTACTGCCTCACTCCAGTTCAGTATCTTTCCTCATACTGTAATTACATCATCAGGAAATTATATAATGATAGAAAACAACATTTAAAAAGAATGAGCTTCCACCATCTACAAAACACAGGAAAATTAGTTGTTACACACACAAACCATATGCATATGCAAACATGAACATACACACATTTAAGAGTAATGTCATCAGGCAGTGTAGTATTATATTTTGTAGTAAATTACAGCAATTAAATCTTTGAATTAGCTACAATCTAAACATCAAACTTCTCACTGATATGACACCATCAGGAAACATGTTTTTTCTCTTACAATTAAACTCATGAGGATGTCTTTGTTGTGACTCATGCAAAACATTCAGCTGAACTACAGTTACACAACACTTCCAGTTAAATTGAAACAAGCTACAGTTTATCTGGGGCAAAAAACACTCAACTGCTTCCGTTTTTTCATTTTGCCGTCAGAGAAGTCAGTTAGTTGCACTCCTACAGCATATTGCCAGAAAACAGATACATAAAAGAAAGTGATCTACCATAAATATCTAAAATCTAATGTTATAGCTCATCTACAGTCCAGCCGATGCTTGTGTCTTGCTGTGGGTGGGTTGCAGGTAGACACCGGCTACAAATGTGAGGATGAACTGTAAGTTAACAAAGTACAGTTACCCTGAATATGTAATTGACCTTATCCAAAAATCATAGCTGAACAAAAGAATAAGGAGTTAACACTGCATTACAGTAAATGATTGACAAATTGGCACTACTGAAAACCTCTAAAAATGCAACCTGCCAACTTACTAATAAGTACACCATCAGGTAACTGACTGGTACACATTCCAGTTTCTGCACTCACGGCCTGGTATGCCAGAGATCAGTTTCATGGGTGTATGCCTGGGAACCCAATGTGCCAGCTAACAATGGTCTAAAGATTGACAGTATCAGAATGTTCCCACAAGTAACTTCTATTTTACTTACTAAATTTGGTACAAATGATAATGTAGCAACACAGAATATTAACACTGATAGATATGGGCCCTATCTTCTAGGTTTATCACTGTAGTTATTGTCTCAAAATAAATCACATACATCATATTACCAGTAAAGTATTGTGTTCTTAGTTTGGGGACCTTGGAGATTAACCAACCAAAAATATGCAGACTGGATATTTGTACTTAATGCAGTATTGTATTAACCTAAAAAATGTATTGTGTAAATTGAAAACGTTAATATCAGGTGCAGCACACTGACAAAAACAAAGTACGTGAACAAACACAAACAACTAGACGAAGGCATTCCGGGAATATTGCTTTCATGAGAATGGGATGGATGGACATACAACCCGGAAATATCCCCTCAGTCACGGCTGTTGCCGATGCAGAGGCATCAGAATTGATAGCAGATGAAGTCTTGTAGTTTCTTTAAATGTATAAACATTGATTTGATTTGGAGACTTGATGACTGATAGGTTGGTCTTAAAAGAAGAAATTAAAGGAAAAAAACGGAGTTTGCTGAGCACTAGGAACCTTATAAAGCACATCTCAGACGGTATAGCGGCGCAGCAGTTAGTGCTGAAGGTTCAAGAAGGTTCTGGGTTCGAGCCCAGGCTGACCAGGGGCCTTTCTGTGTGGAGTTTGTATGTTCTCCCTGTGCCTGTGTGGGTTCTCTCTGGGTACTCCAGCTTCCTCCCACAGTCCAAAGACATACAGCTTAGGTTGATTGGCAGCTCTAAATTGCCTGTAGGAGTGAGTGTGGGTGTGTGGTTGTCTGTCTATATGTCAGCCCTTGTGATAGACTGGCGACCTGTACAGGGTGTACCCCACCTCTTGCCCGATGTCAGCTGGGATTGGTTGCAGCACCCCCACCACCCTATTTAGGATAAGCGGTATAGATAATGAATGGACATTACATGTTTTGTGTGACACCATATTTTACTGTACCTCACAGTCAAGAGGGAATGGCAATGTTTGTCTGTTGCTTGGTTGAGGTGCACATTGCACGAGGTACAAAATAACTCCACAATGTTAGGAAGATGCTGTTGTTTAAAGTGTCCTTTTCTGCCTGCTGCCCAGAATATGTGGCTCTGCAGCAGCTGCTGCAGAACAGTGAGACATCATCCGGAGATTCCTTCTACGTACGTGTCAACATGTCTCTGCCCGCTGGCCCTAATGGAACCCTGGCAGTGTCCTGCAATGACATCTTGCATGTGACCAACACACGTCCTGCTGACACCAAGGACTTGTGGCACGCCAGCCAAGTTCATCCCTGTCAGCTACTGGACCTTCAGAGTGGAACTGTACCCAACTATTACAGGTCAGTACACTGATGGAGAATATACCGTAGACACGAGGAACAGGATCACTTCATTTTCTTGTCAGTCAGCATAGGCAGGGAGTCAGAGTCATCAGAAAACTTGAAAGTCAAGTGAAATCACTTTAAAACTGTACATTTTAATGCTTTTCTGATGGTATAGGGCACAGCGGCTCCTGATTCAAACAATTGAAGACATGAGCTTTCAAAGAAAGGAGTCTCTAAAGGTAAGAATAATTTAATTACTATAACCCAGCGACCCAACCCAAACCTCCACTGTGCTTATCTCATTCCATCTTCCTCACCAGGCTTGGCGTGTGGTTGCCCAGAATAAACAGAAGACAGTGAGGATTGTCAGCACTGGGCGCCAGGGAAGGAACCCGCTGTGGATCAGCGTGGAGGACGAACCACCCAAGAGCACAGATTCAGGTACAACAATGTGCAGCAGTCAGAAAAATATAATATCTTGCTTTATTGCTTCTTGAATATACTGTTTGATAAATGTTTGAATAATTGTTTATGAAAACGTGCCCCTTTAGTGTACATTCTTTTCTATTGTAGGTGATTCATCTGGATCCAAAGGTTGTGTATCCCTCATGCCCTACTCCCTGGTCACCGCCCACTTCCCACCTGTCTGCAGACCCATCCTGTTGCTGCCCACCGTCCTGGGACGCATCCTGGACAAGAAGCTGGCAGAGTGGCAGGGCTTCCAGCTCTGTGAGCCGGGTGAGAAATACAGGGTTGTTACTGTACAATATGTTGTATGACCAGCCCTGTGCATTCACAGTTCATCCGTGCCTGAGCATGTAACACTGAGATCAGATTTATAGATACAGACACACTTCCTTGAACTGAGCGATAAGTCTGTTTGATTTGACAGAAAATAGGTTTTATTGGTGATAGGGCTTATGAATCTCCTCTTCTAGTTCTGATTTTCTGCCGTAGCAGTAGGACGTTGCCTTAGTAAACAATCGGTGCCATACTGTGTAGTGTTAAATGGTTTATGGCTTCATCTGTTGCTGTAAACCAGGAAGGAAATAAACTGTGAATAAATACTGTATAGTGTTAAATGGTTCATGGCTTCATCTGTTGCTGTAAACCAGGAAGGAAATAAACTGCGAATAAATAGAAATAAAGTGATAGAGGCTGTAAAGCCAGGAAATGCTGCAATGATGGGTTGAAATGAGTTTAATGATTTTTGTGGGGAAATTTGAGCATTACTACAACAAAGGACAAATCCAAGAATGCTTACAACAACAAAACAGGATATTCTGAAGAAAATCAAATTATATACAGTATGTTTCAGCTAATACAACAAATAAGTATACCTTCTTGACCTCATTAAAGCACCTTATATATGTAATTTCTTCTTCCCTTTCCTGTCCGTTTCTGTTTCCACCCTGTCACTCGTTTCCGTTCTCCTGCTCTGCAGAGGTGCTGAGCTCCTGTGAGCACGCAACTCGGCTGCAGAGATCCGAAATCCTGGAGGACTGTGAGCAGGGAAGAAATGGCTGCTACACCCTGCAGAGTGTTGAGAAAGTCATGAACAAGGTCAGAACCTTTCAACTTGGAACAGGCACTTTCCACACCCAAGACTTACTTTGAGTAAAATGTGGGAAAACAGATTTTTCCACATTGGCGGTGGGGCTCTAGGCCACTTTGGTCCAGGCTAACATCTCCACAGCAACTGGTATTACCATGAAAATGTGCATAGACATTCATGATCCCCAGAGAATGGCTTGTAATGATTTTAATAACCCAAAGTTTCATGTATGTTCCATGGTTGTGTTTATATTGTATGTGAATACAATATAATTTGTTGGGATCTTCATGTAAAAATGTATTTTGTACAAACATGCAAGCTTTGGAGATTGAATACATGTTCTCCAGAATATTGATTCTGTTCACTTTACAGAAGGATAATTGTGCTAATTATACTCACATGAAAATCCTTGTTTAAAAAGCCATATTCCAAATTTCTTCATTTTCATCCTACAGGGCATTCACTGTGTGCTGCCACTAAGCCTGGACTGTGTACGTCGGCTGCACCGGGCCAAGGTCTTCCCTATCATCATCTTCATCGGCCAGTCTGCACGAAGCGCACGTAAACTGAAGTACACAATCCTCTCTTCTTTTTCATATAAACACTAACAGTCCACTTTGTTACTCAGTGACTCTGATATCCCATTTAGGGACTCACCATTCAGCACTCAGGAACATGGATGTTGCTGACATCATCAACGTCAATAAATGCACATAGTCCCGTCTAAAAATAAATAAAATAAAAAAGATTAATGAACAGAAATTGTCTAATTAAAATAAAATTTGCAAAGCAATAAAGTGTGCAAAAGGTGAAGGGTTCTCAGTGCTTTCTGAAGCCACTGTACTGTACTTTCCTGGTGTATCAATATTAATCAGCTGTATCTGCTGTACCCCCTCAGGGAGTTGTCTATGAACATTTTGGCCACACTGTATTTTTTGAGCTTTAGGATGATAATTCACTGTTGTAACATTATAGATAGTCAGAAAACAAGGAAAAGCATGCCATGGGCTCTTTAAGGCTGCAATGTATTATGGCCTAATGATTGTGTTGTCACCAGAAAAATTGGGATCTCTTATAAGAGGAGTTCTTCTTTTGTATGATTGTTAACAGTTAGTCTAGAGCAACACCTGTTTTTTCTCATTCTGAGTGACTGATATCAAGACCCGACATTCAGTGTTTATGTTTTAGAGACATAAACAATAAGAGCAATAAAACTCACTGAAATGTCAAATTTGGGCAGAAAATACCAAATTAGATCCAAAAATGATTGTGTAATTGATTTCCTTCACCCTTCCATCACTTCCAGATCAAAGCTTCAGCGGCACGGCCAGTCAGAGGAGCAGCTGCTGGTGTGTTCGAGGAGAGAGGAGCCTCTGCTGGACAAGCTGCCATGTCTATATCACAGTGTGGCTCCAGACTCCTGGTGCGACCAGAACTCCCTGCTGACCAGACTGCGAACCATCATCTGGGAGGAGCAGAAGAAGATCGTCTGGGTGGAGCCTGACCTGTGGTGAAAGAGGGAGTAGAAAGGAATAATAGAGTAAAACACAACATATAAAAATAAAATGAATTATCATTTCTGAAAGTTTTTTATTGTGATGATAAAATATTAAGAATATATTTATATGATAAACTTTACATGAGTATGTATCTATGATACTTATGAGTAACTGGGTGAAAGATGGTAAATGGTCTTATACTTGTATAGCGCCTTTCTATGCTTTTACAACACACTCAAAGCGCTTTCACATTATTGGCCGTTCACCCATTCGCACTTCCAACCACTCACGCACTCACACACCGGTGACATCACCGGGAGCAACTGGGGGTTCAGTGTCTTGCTCAAGGACACCTCGACATGTTGACTGGACAAGCCGGGAATCAA